AGAATTTCAGATGCTACCAAAAAATAAAAACACAAACTAAATTGAAAACCAAGTCTCATATACCTAAAAAAATTCTTGTAAATGTCTCCACTTGATCCTTGGGAATGTTTGCTTCTAGTCTGCTTTGTAATTCAATTTAAATCAATCTTATCTTGCAGAGACTGTTTTTGAGGAAGGCACAGTTAATATGCTACAATTGGATTGACCACGAGTCAGCTACTGAGGGTTTGGAGCCTTTCCAGACCGTTCTGACTGTCTTATCTAGTCCTATGCAGAAGTAAATCCTTGTTATTTGTTTAAAAGCAGCTGTATGTTCAAAATAAAGCGCAAACTATCAGTGCACATTACCTAGGCTTATTTTCTTGATACACACGATACCAAGTTTAAGGGAAAAAGAAACACAAAGACATTTAAAATGTGATGGGTGCAATGGGTTGAAGAGCTGTTTGTTTTTATCGTTCCTTACCAATTTGAGAAGACCATTTGACATATTTTAGGATCCAGAAATGGCTTGTTTGATGTGCTATTATAGTTTGGATCTGAAATGTCACCACAAAGCCTCATGTTTGGAAGGTAATTGTATCACAAGGGACTATACTCATTGGTAGATGGGTCCACTGATGAATTTGTAGGTAAATATGCTGTTAGGGGGTGGGACCCTGTCAGAATAGGTGTGTCACTTGGAACTTGACCTGCAAGGTCTTCTTCTCTGGCTCCTCTTTTTTCTCTCTGCTTCCTGGTGACCAGGACATGAATAGCTTTCTTCCATGGTAGACACATCTATCACACCATTCTTTCTTTGAAGTCATCTGACATGGACTGAAGATGTGAACTCAGATAAATCTCTTGTCCCTTAACTAGTGTACATAAGACATTGTGTCTCAGCAGTAAAAATGTGACTAAGGCATACTTTTGTACCATAGTGAGTTCATTGCTGTGACTGCTTCACAACATCATTTAGAAGTCTTAAGGTATAAAAACTAAAATAAATTCCTCCAAAAGACTTTGTTTTGAGAAGAGCATTCCAGGATGTCGTGGTGGAGATGGGCCAGTCCCCTGTGATTCAGGTCACAGGCCTATAGGTAGTGGGTACTGAAGCCATGATGCAAGGGGACCCTGCTACTTCTCATGCTATGAGCAGACTTTGACATCGTCCATATGGTACTGGTTCTACAAGCATGCAGAGTACGAGAGTTGTAGGTCACAGAAGCTTCCACCCAGATTTTGGAAGGCCTGGAAGATGGCAACATGCCCCTGGGATGGCAGTTAATTTAGCTGTGAGAGTGAAGATGAACATTTAATGGGTATCCCATGAAGTTAAAAATGCCAGAAACATGGCACATTTGCTAAGGAAGAGTATAGTGAGTGAGGTAAATGACACAAAGGGAGAGGTTACAAGGTCTGCAAAAGGCAATTATGCAGGGGTAAGGATGCCAAAGCCTTTTGGAGTTCACACTTTTCCACCTCTTATCCTAGGTGTTAGGCTTGGATCTATGATATGTAATGTTTACCCTGCTGAGTTTTGGTCTTGCTTTGTTCCAGTTTCTTTCTATCTGCCTATTTCTTCATTTTGGAATCAGAATGTATACTCTGTGCTACTGTGCATCTGCACTGTTTAACTTTCTTTTTGACTTTCACAGATGCTCTCTGAGAAGAAGTTGCCTTGAGTCTCAGAGAAAACTTTGGACTTGGACTTTGCAGCAGTGCTTGAATTGTTAAAACTTTGGGGGACTCTTAGAGTTAAACTAACTGCATTTTCCACAATGAGTTGTCTATGAGTCTCTGAGGGCCAGGAGACCTTGAATCTGATAAGTCCTCACCAAAGTCTAATGTGTTTGGAAGGTGATTAGATCATGGAGGTTGTATACATTTCAGTGGATTGTTCCACTGATGAGTTTATGAGTAAATATACTGTTAGGAGGTGGGTCCTGGTTACAGTAGGAAGTTTTATGGGGCCTTGACCTGGAAAGATATAGCCCCCTCTCTGGCTCATGTCTTTGTTCTTTGCTTCCTGGCAGTCCAGGCAAGACAAACTTTCCTTCATGGAAGGCCCTTCTACCTTGCTGTTCCTGTCTTTCAGACAAGTAACTGAATATGTGAGCCAAAAGTAATCTTTTCTTCTCTAAGTTGTGTCTGTGAAAAGTTGTGTCTCATCAACGAGAAAGTAACTAAGACATCTACCTTAGCATGAACATCCATGTCTGATATGAGGGTTTTCCCTCTCTTGCTCTTTGAATGGAGGAGGAGGATGCACAGGCAGAGAAAGATTAGAGATGTGCTAGCCTTGGCCCAAAGCAAGCCAGCCAGGTTGGACTGTGTGCACTCAATCCGAAGAGCTTTGATTTTGTGTTAGTTTCCCCACCCCCTCCCACCCACACCAATCCAGACATTTCTTTGGCTGCAGATTAAAGTTGATTCTATTGTTACTCTTGCTTCCATTTCCTAACTCTTTATACTCATTTCTAACTTTCCTAGTGGAATTCATTTATCTGGGCCCAAGTTTTGAGAAAACTAGATAAAAATCCCATAGAGATCATTCTGGGACAGGTGGCTTTTGTTTTCAAGAAACTGTTGGTCCCTTCCAGATGACTCATTCATGTAGTTTCACTGTCAATTCAGTTGATCATATTTTCTATACTCTTCTTTATATTGAATTTGGATTATCATTATGGTTTTTGTATTCTCAGTGTACATTTTTTTGTTTTTTAGTAATTAACTAGAGTTGTTTTCAATTTCATTCACCTTTGTGTTCCATTGTAGAAAGTATTAATGACTTTGTATGCTTCTTAAATGAACAAATTCCACTCCATGCCTTCTGAATCATGTCTGGTATAGTTGGACACTTCACCCAGGTAGGTCACTTGGGTGTCATTTGTACATATTTGATTTTGAAATCCTTGTTCTAGTTTTTAGAACCATTTTGTTCATGGACTGGAGTTCTAGTATCATCATTTTCCATCCATGTGGTGCTAGATAAGTTATGTAACATCTCTAGGCTTCAGTTTTCTCATCTCTAAGATAGAGACAGAATAATACCTAGCTCTTGATGCTTTCTTGAAAGTTAAATGTGGCAATCTGTATAAAGTGCTTAGCATGCTGTGGTACTCATTGTAAGATGTCTACAAAGATAGTTATTATTTATCCCTAATCCAGCTAACCTTTCTCTTCTCATAAAGTGGTGTTAAACAAAGTTTGAACAAGAAAGATTTTCCTAACTAGGGGCTTAAATTATGAACCAGGGTACTGGAATCATTGGCTGTGGAAACATGATTGTATTGTAGTAAGAAACAGAATGCATGATTTTGGTTGACATTTTGGGGATCTTGGGGCAATTGTTTAACATTTTTATGGCTCATTTTTCTCATCCACAGAATGAACATGATAATTGTAGCTACTTCATCATATTGTGGAAAGGAGTAAAACAATGGGTCAAATGGGGAGGCCCAGTGCTTGGCACATACTCTACCCTCAACAGATGTTATCTGTTATTGAAAAAAATCAATATTCTACCTGTTATATGCCTAGTTTCTTCTGGGGGAGGAATATAGAGTACTTGAATTGAATTGTCATAGGCAATTTGCAGACTGAAACTCTCGCCTTCATCCCCAATTCCCCAGTTCCCTGAACTCTAGTTCCTGGCTCATCTCACTAAAATTACACTTTCAGAGACCAATCATCAACTCATACCCAATGGGGTCCAATCCTCGTGCCTTACAGAGGCACAAGGATTTCCAAGGTTACTAGCCTAACATCATTAATTCTCAATAGAGGAAGCTCTGTCCTGTGGATTTCCCACAGCTAATTTGTGACCAACCAAGTGTTATTCACTTTTACTGGGCTGTTTATTTACCAAGTGCCAGTGGGTTTATTTCATTTTAACAAATTGGGCAAGGGCCTAACAATCCAACATGTAGCCCATGTATGGACTCTCCTTTCTTCTCTTTCATTCTGTTTTCTACGTTTCACAAATCTTGCTTAATAAGGCCCAGTGCAATCAATATTTTAAGAGAGCTCTTCTGTTTTCCCAAGTGGGACATACACCCTGTGACCCTCCATAGCTTGAAGACCTTATTTTCTGACCAGCAATGTTTTCTCTCCCTGTGACTTGCCTCTCTAAGTCTGCGTTCTTATTTTCCTGCTGGTTCTTTTGTTTCCTTGGGCTGGCTGCCTTGTTTGACAGTCTTTAGCAAGGCATCTGATAGATGCCAGGAGGTGAGGGGAAGGGCTCTGAGTGAACACCATCATTGGATGAGGAGGCTCAGTGATGGATGAGCCTTCTCTCCAGGGAGTTTTGGGTCAGAAGAAGTCCAACAGATAAGTTTTTCCAGAACTGAGTAACCAAGCAACAGTGCCAGGAGGATCTTACCTCTCCTGTGGTTTTCTGTATTGGTGTTAAAGCAAGTCCTCAGCAGCAGTGGCACATCTTACTAGAAACAGAACTCCATCCATGATAGACTTAGATCTATATGACACCACTTGCTTTAGAAATAACATTGGAGGAGGAGGAGGAGGAGGAGGAGACTAAGAGGCAGGAAAAGAGGATCTTTAAAAAATCCCTATCAAAATATTTTCTTTCTTCTAAGTATTGAAAAGGCACAATGTAACCCTTTCTTCTTCCAAGTGATCTCATAGCTATTTATTGAGGGGAAATACCAAATGCTTATTATTATTATTGCAGAGGCTTCTTCAGTCCCGATGATTCATGTCGCTATCATTTTCTTCCTGACTGCAGAGCCTCTGAGACAATGCTACACCCCAAGTGATATGTTGGTGTCAGAACAATTCCTGTCCTGAAGGGGGTATTTGACCTTCTTTATTCCCCCTTCACAGATGTCCTTGAGCCTTTGAGACGGATGTGAGTGAGTTTTTCAGCCCTCATGCAAAACAACCATCTAAACATAACAGATGACATCAGCTTGGGCTTTTCAATTCCTGGATGGCAGCAGCGTGTTAATCCAGCCTTCATCCTGGATTTCATAAACTAAAACAAGAGAGGCTGCAGGAGGACAGCGCTGCCGCTGGGTTGAGGAAATTGATGACGGGGAAGCACACGGGCAACCCAGTGTATAAAACTGATAACTGTGTAGGCAGAGAGGCTCAGCTACCACTTTGGACGGCTGCTTCCCACAGCAGAGACCACAACGCGGGGAGCTGAGCCCGAGCCAGCAGGGAAACATGAGGAGCCTTTTGCTGCTGACCACACTCCTTGTACCTGCCCACCTGGCTGTGGCGTGGAGCACCAAATATGCGGTGGATTGCCCAGAGCACTGTGACCGTAGCGAGTGCAGGAGCAGCCAGCGCTGCAAGAGGACAGTGCTGGACGACTGTGGCTGCTGCCAAGTGTGTGCCGCAGGGCTGGGAGAAACTTGCTACCGCACAGTCTCGGGCATGGATGGCATGAAATGTGGCCCAGGGCTGAGGTGTCAATTTTACAGTGAGGAAGATGATTTTGGTGACGAGTTTGGTATCTGCAAAGGTAAAGAGAGACCCCTTTGTTTCCCCACCCCTGAACAGGGCTCGCTGGGGGCTTTTAGCCAGTTTGGGAGGTGAGGGGTTTGCAACTTTGGACTCAGAGGAAAAATGCTTGTCTCATGCAGCTGCTGTCCTAGTTAGAGTGAGGAGGGGAATTCTGCAAACAGCCACTGAAACTGGTGAGCAGGAAGGCACAGAAAGAATGCAGCACGCCACACGTTGTATTTAGAGAGCTAAGAAAGTTGCAGTGGAATACTGTGTTGCCTCTTTTTCTGGAAACCTTTAGAAACTTGACAGGTAATTTGTTGTGAATGGTTTAGACGCTTACTCTCCCGAAAGGCAGTGATTACAGGGGTCCCGCTGGATAACCTCCGGGAATGATTTCTGGCCCCAGGATTTCACACTTTGATCTTGAAAGGGTCACAGGATGGAGAGCCTCATGCAAGACCGAGTAGAGCTGCAGAACACTAATGCCCTGTATGGAATTCAGTGGGTTTAAGTCATCTAACAGAATAATTGATATTCTCACAAAAAAGTCCTCTGGAGTAGAAAATGTTTCTTTGCACTTAATAAGCGTTTTGGCTACGTGGAAAACTAGTAGACAATGTAGGATAAAAAAAATGGAAAGAAACATAAGCATTGGAAATCAGTGCAGAATAAGTTTATTTCATAGAAAGTTGATTACTTTACAGAAAAATTTATCAGATATAAATTATAGTTAAATGACACTGGTAAACATGTGTAGAAATTATTTGAAACTTAATGAGTGTGGTTTAAAATGTTTAGAATCAAAAGAATGGTGACTGAATATATAGATACTCTACGCTCCCATCATTAAAAGCTGTTCTGAAATATAGCCCAGGCTGTAGTGCTGCTCCTCAATTTTGCAATGCAAAGAAGCTCAAGATTGTAAAATTTTAATATTTTATGTATTTAATACAATCATATTCTTTCATGAATGAATTATCCCATATTAATTTCACCTAATGAATTCTTCCTTTTCATTTTCTAATTTATAAGTCAATCATTTTTTATCTATAAAACTTATGAAGAGTTAAGAAAGACTTTTTGACTTAAGCATTTTTTGACCAATTTTGAATGCTTATATCTGGTAATCTGAGCAACTACTTTGAAGACAATGATATGCACTATAACAACCATTACTGAATCCTTGTCAGCTTGTTTTCTGACATTATATAATGCTTATAATGTTATTATT